AGCTCTCAATTTACCCTTTGGTCTACGTTCCTACCCTCACTTATGGTAATGAAAGCTGGATCTTGACCGAAATAACGAGATCCCGGATACAAGCGGCTGAAATGAGCTTTCTCCGCAGGGTGGCTGGGCTCTCCCTTAGAGATAGGGTGAGGAGCTCGGTCTTTCGGGAGAGGCTCAGTGTAGAGCCGGTTCTCCTCCACATCGAGAAGAGAGTCATCTTTTTCGGATGCCCCCTGGACGCCTCCCTCGGGAGGTGTTCCAGGCACGTCCCACCGGGAGGAGGCCCAGGCCAGCCGGAGAGACATAGTCTCTCCGGCTGGCCTGGGAGCGCAAAGGGCTTCCCCCAACAGAGCTGGAGTAGGTGTCAGCGGTGAGGGAAGTCTGGGAGTCTCTGCTTAGTCTGCTGCCCCCACGACCCGGTTCCGGATAAAGCGGGAGACGACGAGTATGAGTACGACGACTATATAGTAGACTGTACAGTGAACTCAGTTAACGGACCGTTCAGAAAGAGGAGCACTACTTGCTCTCCGTTTGTTACGTCACTCTGCCTCCCTGCACGGTCCCTGCCCCATCTATGTTATTAGTCACTGTGACAACAAATCCCATAATGCTTTGCGAGGAGAGCTGTCCTTGCAAAGCATCCAGAACATATCTGTTCGTCTAGTCACCATGGATGATCACTACTAATCAAGGTGCATAGTGGGAAATTTCGAGTCCACTAATTTTTCATGCACCAGACAATCGGACACTCATCTAAGATGTGTCTAACCAGCATATAGGGCCCTACATAGTGATCAGGGCAAACATTCGGACACAGCCAGAGTCGAGCGAACAGCCGGTGTTGAGCGCACGCAGAGATGGAACCGTTTGTGAGGACAGTGAGTTGAGTGTGCGTCAGATTTTATTTGTTTTGAGCTCACGCACATGATTGTTTAACAAGTGAATACCTGTGGGCTTCAACAAATGGCACAATCGTTACGCCATACCTCTCTGCCAGAAAATATCTCTGAGAAGTCAAGCTCCTGTCCAGTTCCTGCCTGTTAAAGCAGCTTCACACCCCATGACAAGTTTTTGTTGCTCTCATAGCCACAAAAACAAAATGTTTTTGTTCTTGGTGACTCGTCCTGGGTGTTCTTCCTGCTGGTTCTGGACACTATGGGGCGGACCTACTTTCTTGCAGTGTGTCTGAGAACAATTATGTGATTGGTCTGAGTTTGCATGGGTGCAATAAGTTGGAAAAGTAGAGATGATTTTCCTCTTTTTTCTCGGATTGGGCATCCATTCTGTGATCTATCATGTGATAGATAGTTTGAGGATTGGCCGTCAGAGGTGGCGAAAAACTATCAGCGTTTCTAGGATAAAGGCTGATTTATACTTCGAAACTAGGTCGTCTGCGTAGGTGTCGCAGTGAACAAAGACGTCCCCTCCCCAGACACTCCGTTGCACCTCTCTCAAATTGTAGCTGACTGCAGACAGTGCCGCAGACAGGAGGCCGGCTTGTTTTGTTTTATGACTGAAATTGCGGAAAACAACTCGTGAATTTGGACCAGCTAGAAGAGTGAGGTGTGCAAGAACGCTGGGACCCTTTTTCCACCTGGATCCCCGCTATTTTTCGCCGTCATGTCCCTCTGTTGTCGGACTACTCGCCCCCACTTCCGTTTCTAGACCCACAGCCTATAGAGCAGACCACGCTTCAATACTGGGCATAAATCAAAAAAGTCTTTGTCAAGCTCACTGCGGCACACTGCTGCAGGAGCATAACCAGCCCTTAAGCCTTCTAAGTTATACAAAGCCTTTTGCTCTCCTCCTCATCAAGCTGAAAAATATCTTGAGGTGAGGACCCGGTGTTATCAGTGTATTAGTGAGAGTGGGATTCCCTGTTGCTACTCTCTGGCTGGAAACAAGTTCAAATAAACGACATATAAACATTGTTTTGTTTGTGTTTATAACCCATATCTCTCCTGTGCTTCTGATGGACCGCCTCATGACCAGAAACTTTCCCCAAAGCCTTCATCCGGCTGCTCGCCCTCTACCCTTCGGTACTCCTACTCCCTGATCTTTGCCTACCTACCTCTTTTCTTTCCCTTCCTTTATGACAATAACACCATTCACTTCCCAGATTGCACCCCCTCCCCCAAATGCCTCATTCATCATGGTCTGACTGACTTTCCTCAACATTACTTCTCCTGCCCCTACAGTGACTGCTCTGTTTTGTTCCTTCTCTGCTTTCAAGCACTGCTTGAACCCCTAAGTTTTCTTAACACTAGAACTACCAAACTACTAAAGTCGTTTGGCCTCAGTCCCCAGCGCTTCGCCACACCTCATTGAAATTACCTTTCTTATTAAAATTCTACCAAGAATGCGTCACACAGCAGACCTTTCCCACAGGTACAGGAGTTATCTTAAGCCCCATGTACACTACCCTCTGAAAAACGATCTGTGCAGAGCTCGGATCCTCATGACCATTTACACACCACGCTAGCATGGTTCCTCGCATCGTAGTGGCGACCTACCGTACTACTGCTCTCTAGAGGTAAACAAGCAAACCAACATGGCGGCGCCCATAACATTCAGGAAGTTTGGGGAGAGGCAGGGGAAGAAGGCATCCTTTGGTGAATTTACTTGACAGTCGGCTTTAGGAAGCGGATGCGACAAACTATAGTCTAATCAGGGCTTCCAGACGCAGGAAACAATGACAGGAGTTGAGGTTCATCACACTGCTAAGCAGAATCATCACTGGAAATCATGTGGCACCGAGGTGAAGCAGCTGAGTGAAGTTGGCCCCCCCGCCTTCTTCAAATCAGACAAAATTAGTGTCAAACGTTTGTACAGCAAAAAATTTTGTTTGTGCCGCTATCATTTTAAAGATATAAAGAAATATTTCTAGAGGTCATCAAAGGTCAACCAGCCCCCCCCACCTTCTTCAAATGAGGCAAAATGGGAGTCAATTAACTCGGCTCCGTTTGTCCTGGTTTGTGCAGCAAAAAATGTCATTTTTTTTTACACTTTAAAATGATATAATCATAGGTTAGCAACTTATAACATATGAAATTCAGAGTTTCAGAATGAACAAATGTTCGCTGATCTTTGATGGCTTCTACAAACAATTATTAATATCATTAAAATGATAGCAGTACAAAAAATTTATATATTTTAAAATATGCATATTTTTATTTTTAATATATATCTTTTAAGTATTTTATATATTTAAAATGTTATATTCTTGAATGGCAAAAACTTTAATTTGTACTGTTATCATTTTAATGATAATATTTTTTAGAGGTCATCAAAGGTCAGTTAACATCTGTTTTTGCTGCACAAACGTTTGACACCAATTTTGTCTAATTTGAAGAAGGTGGGGGGGCTGGTTGACCTTTTGACCTTTACATTTTGATTAATATCTTCAAAGCCAAACCAGCACAAATGATGCTGAGTTAATTGACACCTATTTCGTCTGATTTGAAGAAGGTGGGGGGGCTGGTTGACCTTTGATGACCTCTAGAAATATTTCTTTATATCTTTAAAATGAGCCGCACAAACAAAAATTTTTGCAGCACAAACCAGCGCAAACGTACCACAAACGTTTGACACTAATTTTTTCTGATTTGAAGAAGGTGGGGGGCCAACTTCACTCAGGTTAGGGAAGCTAGTATTTTTATGAATGTCTAAGTTTCCTGATTACGGAGGCTGACTGTAAGGAGGTGACGGCGTCTGCTCATGCTCTCTTTGTTATCTGAGAACTGATCCAGAACTGAACAACGCCGAGCCCTACTGATGAACTAGTACCAGTTTAGTGCGGTTCAGATGTGTCTGGTGCTGTCCGGATCATGCTCATTGCTCAAAGCACGGTGACAGAAGTGGAAAAGAATCTGCACAGCTCTGCCTAGTTGTAGCCATTCTGTATACAGTGTGACATGGAATAAAATTAGATCGGAGATTTATAAGATGTAAGCAATCAGTGCGTTCTGGCCTTAAATGCTGCCGATGATGTGATGGACAGCTCATCGAACAGGAGATATGTAATCTGATCGTATTTCTAATTAGATATAAGCACATTATTAGAGTCGCCAGAACTTACCGTTAAAAAACATGAGTAAATCTTTTTCTGCTTATAAAATTGCTTATAGAGACATCACATTAAAAATGAGCCTTTAAGATGAGCAAAGATTTTAACAAACCGTCTTCTTCTCGTTTTTGTCCACTTGACTGTGGTTCAAGCACTTTACATTTCACCATCACTGCTGGTAGAATAGTAAACTTCTGTTTCTGTCTCTAACACCCTGTTACAACAGCTCACTACTCGTCTTCTTCTTTTTAATACAATGTTATCATTAAACTCTAATGGTTTTCCAAAGCTGAATTTCTGATTCACCCCTCACAGACAAAGCATTTAAATGAATCAGTTCTGTGGCACATGGCAGCCTGAGATCCAAGCTGGATCTAACAGAAACTTTCAAACGTTTGATTGATTAGTTGACTGACTTTATTGATCTCACGGTGGAGAACTGTACGCGTTATATCAGCTCAAATAGAAGGTGTCGAAGGAAGAAAAGGAAAGTCCAGGTGTCCTCCTGACCTGCACTCTTGGAGGTTGTGGGTATTAATGCCTTTTTAATCCTTTCATTCCTTAATGATTCATTTCATTATAATATATAGTTCTTTTATCTACTCTCATAAATGTCTAGTTCTGATCAGGAGATCATTTAGAAAAGCTTTGAAAGGATGACCCATTCATAGTGAGGAGTGTGCAGAGTGAAATGTTCTAAAACATAAATTGTCTGCCTGTTAACTGTCCATCCACCCCCCCTAAAAAAGACAATAGAATCTTTAAATTAGGAAAGGAGGCCACAACAAAGAGGCTAAATGGAGGGCATGGCGTAAACCATGCAGCGGCGGAGGACAGAGGCCATGCAGCTCGCCAGCAGGGGATCAGACGCAGCTTTCTCTGCCGACGCAAAGGGAGCCAAACGGTGATTGTTTACTGGTTGACCCATGCTAGAATAACCCGGGTTAACCCGCCAACATCAATGGAAAGAGCCTAAAGACAGTTTACTCAACCTCTGTGTCTGTTACCATAGTAACGTTCTCCCTAGAGCTAATCTGGTCAGTAGCAGGTTTTTCCTCATTAAACTAAGTGTCCTCTCTCTGCCCTCCTTAAAGCCAATCATGAGGTTTTATGCAGGAGATTTTCTCTCAGTATTTTGCGAACAATAAAAATAAAACCCTTTACTAAGTCTGTTAGTACACAACACAACTATGGTAAATCCTTGGGATGTCATTAAAGAATGATTGGCATTAGTTCTCAGTGAATTCAATATTTACAAGTTGAAGGTCATCAGACAACATTTCTGAAATGATGACAGTCTGACCAAAGTCTGACCACTAAATGACGTCATGCACCAACCCCGCTTTGTGATTAGGATCGTTTCTTTTTAAGGAAAATTACAGCTAACAAAAATGCACAATGCAGGTTCCTTTAAGGGATGCTTGAGCAGGTCCTGTGACTGCGGTGCTGCTGCAGCTCTTTCTGAAAAGATGCAACAAGCAGAAACCGCCCCCCCCCCACCACCCCACCCACCGACCGCACGCCTATAATACAATATTTATACACTGAACCACAATCACCCTTCAATTAAATGACCCTGACACTGCTTCTGACTGCTGTGGGTTCAATGAGATAGTGACTAAAGATCACAGGAAATACTGGAGTTTAAAATCAGTTATCATCTGAAAGGGTCTAGATTTTGCTCCTTTAATTTCTAACAGTATATTTTCGAATGTATGTAACCGGGTGGTTATTGGGTGTAAATTCCCACCCGTTTCGGGCCCTTGAACGCATTAAAGCTCCGTTTCTCTACCTTCACTTCTGCTTTACAGCATTGACGGACTCATTAGCGTATATAGACACCAGTAGATTCTTTTGAATGAGCGTTGGGAGCCGTGCTGCTACACTAGGATTTGGATCTGGATATTCGGGGCTGCTGGAAGAGTTGTGGGTTTTCACTGCAGTGTCTGCATATACTCCTGTCTGTGGCTAATGAAGGTACATTATTTTCTTTTACCTTATAGCTTTATTATGGTCGGCAGGCACTTTATTGTTGTTTTTTGGTTGTTACAGACTGCTGCTGTTGCTTATTATGCTCTCACCAATGCAACGTGAGATTCGTTTTTTTCTAAATTTATTTGATCTTGTCTTATCTTGTGTGTTACTAACGTGGTTTGTAGTGTTTCTAGAGTCTCAGATTGCTTCCTGGTTTGTCATGGGTTCCTGTGCCTTATTGGATTTTAAAAAAGAATAATAAAGTTTGTCTTCTAATTGTAAAATAATGCATAAATAAAATATATAGTTTGTATACTAATTATGTTTCCTCATTTTAAGCCAGACCTACCTATGTACTTTTAATTTGGAGACCCTAGTCCACTTGATGTTATTTTTAGCGGTCTACTAGTTGGTTTAGGGCCACGTCCTCGGTCCCAATCCGGGTAATTCCCCAGTGTTACATGTATATTTACACCAGCCTTATTTCTAGTCCTCATTAGCTGCAGTTTACGTCCCTATGTGTCTGTCTCCTCCTACTGGTTGAGCTCTCCTTGATTTCAGAGATCTCCTGTTTAAATCGTTGCTGACTTTTATTTCTTTAGAGAACCTCTGCTTTAATTGTAGATTTCGGACTTTTATCAGTTTCTCTGCTTCCTGTTAATTTGTTTTTCAGTGAGCTTATTTGGACCCAGTCTAGAAGTGTTGATTAATACTCTGTGCTGACCTCGTTGTTGCCATAGGTAACGGTCAGGTTGAACCCAAGCCTGGATTGGAGGACTTCCTGGTGCTTTAGATCCTTAAATGGTCGCCTGCTGTGATTGGTTGAGATGTGATACTCCAGATCTCTTTCCGAAAGAGTCTAAAAGCACAAACAAAACAAAAACTTGGTTCAGAAACTCGGTTCAGACATCAAGCAATTTATTAAGAAACAAAGGTAAAAATGACCATAAAAAGAATAAGGACATTTGTGTTCAATGTTTAATTGTTGGGCTGCATGGTGGTGTATGGTACGGAAGAGGATTAGGGCCACTGGGAAAAAAAAAAAAAAAAGTTAACTGATTAAAAAAAAACAATTTCAGTTTAGTATGGGAAAAAAGTCAGAATTCTGGGATTAAAGTCAGAATTCTGACTTTTTTCTCAGAATTCTGACTTTAATCTCAGAATTCTGACTTTAATCTCAGAATTCTGACTTTTTTCTCAGAATTCTGACTTTAAATAAAGTAAAAAAATCAGTTAACTTTTTTTGTTTTTGTTTTTTCAGTGGTCCTTTTCCTCTTCCGTAGTATTGTGCATGGTTTTAACGTCTTTGTGTGTCTTTGCCCATATTCTGCTGGAGATAGGCAGCCACTGTGACCCACGGTTCAGTAAATGGTTTCCATGGCTGGGGAGCAGAGAAATTAAATGCTGCGTCACTGAGATCCCAGAAAACTGAGCCAGAAGCTTTTGATCCATTCTAGTAAATAACCTTCAACATCTTCACCTCTGCTGTGGAGACTGTCTTGTTTTCTCTTTCTAAAAGGATTAAATTAAAAGATAAACTACCTTTTCTTTGATCTTTTATGAGTTAAAGTTCAGTAACTACATGTTAGCACTATATGTTTAATGTGTATCCAAAACAAGTGTTAAATAGCAAAGGTTTCTCACCAGGTTCGGAGCAAATCCAGAGTTATGGGGAACAAACAGTGTGAGTTCAGACTTCCTGTGAGCCAAGATGTCGATGAGCTGCCTGCCTTCGGAGGACGAGCCGCCGTAGTCCACCAGCAACTAAAAAACATGTAACCAGAATTAAAAAAAACTTTTCACACTTCTGCAGTACAAAATATCCCTCCCTCTTCAATCAAACCTCTGCTTGGATCAGTTATATCCAAATATATTTGGTTAATAGTAACCAGGAAAGTTTTCCTGAAAATCTTCTTCCATTAATGATAAAAAAAGCCTCACAGCGGGTCATTAGGCATCCCAAATTAGACGGCAAACTTGAATTTAACAGGATCTGCACGGCTTGTAAACTGGGTCAGAACATCTACAGAACTACAGTCATTGCAGGGAGATCCTGATGAACCAGCGCCACCATCAGAGACAAATCAGGGAAGTTCTTTTTTTATATTTTTCATAATAAAACATCACTCAGACTCTGATTGTCGATACACTTTATATATATATATATATATATATATATATATATATATATACTTTTTTCTGTGCGGTCCGGTACCAAATGACCCACGGACCGGTACCGGTCCGCGGCCCGGTGGTTGGGGACCGCTGGTTTAGAGGACCCAAATGCAGAGGCAGAGAGACTGAGGTGATTTCTTGTAGTTTTATAGCAAACACAAATAATAGAGGCAAAATCCAAAAATCCAACTAAAAATGTGACACAGACCAGAACCATGGTGACATCAGGGGAAAACACGCACAAGGAGCCAGGGAGAGACGAGGTGAGGAGACAACAGCGACGACAAGGAACCAACAGGGAGTGAGAGCAGAGGGAGAGTATATGCAGCTGACTGAGACAAAGGCAGGGCTAACGAGCTGATAAGGAGCAGGTGTGAGAGGAGACAACGAGGGAGCCAAGAAGAAAGGAACACACACAGCGGAAAACAACAGAAAAACACCAGAACTAACATAAATCTAGAAACTACAAAATAGGATTTAAACCAATAAAACTAGGAAACATGGAGCAAAGTAAAGGATAACAGAACCAAAACCATGACAGTCTTTGTTACTGCTATTAAAAAAAACAAGAACTTTGAATCATGTTTGAACTGATGCAGTTTAGGCTGTGTTTTAGTCACACAGTTTTGTAATTTATATGTTAAGAAAACAGAAGGTTTTGCTTTTAAATGATGTTCCACACATGCAATTCGGGCTTACAGCTCCTCAGTTATTATTATTTTTTTTTTCCATTTTCTATTTAGGTATGCAAAGACGCAAGGATTACTTCAAATTAGGTGGATGTTAAAAGGTGTCCTAAAGTGTCAGACTCCAGCAGGAATCAGGATTTATAAGTTATTTTAAAAAAAGATGTTTGCATCGTGCTTACAAATTTTTTTGTTGCTTGAAAGAGTAAAATTGTTCCTCAAAAACTAGCACAGATTGGTCCAAAGGCAACTATAAACACGCTAAAGTCGACGCACAACATGTCCTAACATGACCTGGCAGTTTTTCATTAGAAAAATCTTTGTGTTTATCTATTAAGTTTTATTTATCTTTTATACTAAAAGGTATATTTAATAAAACCTCATTCAGTAATTAATTCCACACAAATAAAAACGAAAAAACAAACATAAATGACCAACAGATTGTCCTAAATGTTAGAAAGTTTTGCAAAAAATGTCAACAAAACACCATAAACCCCAAAGAACCAAAGGTTATGCTGATCTTTCAGAGCAAAGCTGCAGCAAAATACTTCAGAATGATTCCTGATCAGGTTACAGCTCCTAATCCTGTGATGGTTTTATAAACTCACCTTGTAGAAAATGGAGAAGTTGCTGTTTGTGGCCAGGACACTGGTCAGGACGCCGTTGCAGAAGTCACCGTTTCCAACATAACCCTCAGGACATGAACAGGACACGTCTGCACAGAAACATCAGAATCAGCAGAGAGCATTTCCATTATCATGAGCTGCATCGCAGGGCTATGATTAATGAATTAATTAATTCAGATACCTTAAAAGGTTCCTTTATCTGATATTCATGAATACAAATCTGTTGCTTTATCCAAATCCCTTCAAATGTCCTTAATGGAACTTTTAGTTTATTCATAACCACCTTTTTACCTTCAGTTTTAAAATTATGAATGTTTCTGTGACTCTGAGCCGTTCTGGTTGTTTGATATCAGTCAATGTGTGTCAAAGTGATGATTCACCTTTTATTGCTTCTCTGGAAAAACTGAAGCATTGACATGGATGCAGATATAGGCACAGCTCTATCAGCCAAGCTAACCAATCTCCTCGCTCAGTAGATAGCCACAAACTGCTCAAGCTCGTTCTCCAGGTGGCCACAGGTGACGCTTCTTAGACGCTACCTGCGAGGCGAACTATCATGAGGAGAATACATGACCAGCACGCCGTGGAGAAAGCCGCGAAAGATGAGAAGTTGATTGAGGTGACGTGTGTCAGATTGTTTGAGACACTATATTGTCAAAGTGTGGGACACTCAATTTTTTGCAGCACAAACACAGTAACAAATGAGCAAAAAAAAGGTATGACTTTGTCAAAATCTTAAGTAAGAAGACGAAACTACGTGTGATTTTGCAAAAATAAAAAAGTAAACCTTTTCTTTTAAATTCTGGAGGTAGCACACATGTATCATGGATGCCTTTGGTAGAATTCAAATGAGCGAACTTAATCTAGATTATAATCTAGATTGAAAAAAAATTATCAATGCCCACCACAAATTTTTATTATTTGTTTATATAATTTGTATGTTTTTTATTTATTTTTTTACTTTTCGCTGCCCCCTTCTTGCACAGGGAGGTCTGGAGATTTCCTCCAGGGTCTGCTCCCCCTAGAGGAATTGTCAGATAGTGTTTTTATGAAAACTGTAAGAATATGTTTAGTGTCTGCCTCTTTGTGCATCTCAGGTGTGTGCTTGTATGTCCATATGGATGTAAGGGTGGGATTGTGTGAATGTGACTGGGTGAATGTAAAATTGTTTGTCTTCTTGTCAGGTTGAGTATTTTCCTCCCCGGCCACTGAACATCTTAGGCCCAAGTATGAGCATTTCCTGTCCTGTACCTCTTTTCTTTTAGTCCCTGTAGGGATGGGAACCGAAAACCAGTTGCTGTTCAGAACCGGTTCGATGTTTCCAATTCCATGGCACTGCTGGCAGCTCGCTTAACGATTCTCTTAAGTTCCAGGCAGCACCAGAGCCTAGCGCTTAGCAGCACGACCTACGTCACGTTTTTTATGCAAGTTACACACATGGCATTAAGTGATCAAGTACGACGTGACCAGGTGTAAGTCTAGAAAAGCAAAACACAAAAAATGGCGTCCCATCGGGTAAAGCGATCGAAAGTTTGGCTTCATTTTAAGGAAGAGAAAGATGGCAAGAAGGCGCTTTGCAATCATTGCAAAGCGGCAATTAGATCCGCGGAGGAAATGCATCCAACATGCAGAAACACCTGCGCACACAACATTGCAATCATTTTAACGAATGCCGTGTTTTTGATGCTTCCGGACAGAAGCTAAAGTTACACCACCATGAAAGGCGACTCCGCTGGTAAGTAGCTAGTTTTATAATCACTGGTTGTGCTTAATGTGGTTCTGTAGAAGCAGTTTTATTGTCTTATATCAGATCAGAATCAGAAATCAGAATCAGAATATGTCCTTACACGTGGCCCTACACTTACTTAGCAACAAAACAGTACATGCTGAAGGTCAAGTATGAGTCTTAGCAATAATAAAGTCTCTAATGCCTTATTCGTACGCAATTAGATGATGTATGAGGAGGTTTGGCAAAACAGAGAACATCTGTATAAACATTCCTTGAGGGTCGGAGTGACTTTGACGCAGACCAGCCCTAGTGAATTCCAGTAAGCTTTCGACATGATATTCCTGTGCATGTGCAGTTACGTAATGCGATGTGGAAACTATAAATGCCGGTTCAGATGGACTGAAGGTTGGGGGATAACAGAGTTGTGACAATACAGTGCTGAATGTATGAAGTGTTTTAAGACAGCTGTATGAATTCGGTTTGTAATTAAATGTGTCCCCCCGCCGGATGATAAAATGGTGTGAATCGTGGCCTTCTTTCTGTCATAAGGGAATTCTACCAATGAGCTTCCATAGTTCCTAGTAAATCATATGCCATTTCTGGAAATATACCCATTTCCTACCTCTCTTTCGGGTTATTAAACGTGTTACGAAGTTGCTCCACAGTTCAGGGAGTGAGAGAAAGGTGACGCTTATTATTTAAATCAGGGGGAGATGAGTTTATTTCTCAAAATTGTACAGTAATGCTTTTTCATTAAACGGATGCCTTCTCTATTAGATTAAGATGACTGTGAGGAGACGGGTAGCCTGGCTGACAAAGAGGCTGGCAGCTCCCGTTCACTGCCTTCTAGTCGCAGAGGCAGGCGGAAATAGAATGTCCCAGGCGAAGGTAGACGAATGTCACCGTGCACTCACCAAGGTCATTGTTTCACAGAATCGATAAGGAACCAAATCGTTTCACAGAATCAATAAGGGAATCAGAATCGTGAAAATCGTATAAATTCTCAACCCTGTCGTCTGGTGCGCTGACGGTTCTCTAGGTGCGGGTTTGGGTACTTCAATGGGCACCGTCTCATTCCTGGTGACTGGCGGGCCTGGTCCTCCTGGCCCTGTGGGGTCCCTACTTGGGCGTAGTGCAGCCTCAAACCTCGGACACTGGGCTCCATGCTGTGGCCCTGTGGGACCCCACAATGCCTCAAATTCACTTTTGAAATCCAGGGGCATGGAATCCCCCCTCATATGCTTGAGAGTGTTTAGAAATTTTGGGGGTGATTATTAGTAAATCACTACAGGTCTTATGTTGTGCTAATCGTACCCCAGATGAATAAGTCGCTTTCATTTTTCACCTTTTGCCTTCCTTTCTGTTGTTTCAGCTGATCTTTCTCGCCCTTTCCCTTGATCTCTTTTTCTCACTGAACTGTGGAGTTAACAAAGAACATATATTTTAGGATGGAAAAGCCGTCTATATGTAAAATTTTGCTTTGGCCATTTAGTTTTCTGCAACAAAGTAAGCAGTTTTAAAAACCCACTTTATCTAATCTCACGTTGCACTTGCCCATCATGGACAGCTTTTGGCCATGACATTTTTAGCTGAATCTGCCTCACGTTTGCTTCTCACTGCTGCAAGAGGAAGAAACACCGTAAGAGTGGCAGCGGTGCAAAGTTGAGATTTAACACACTTACGCTGGTAAAGGGTTTGGCAGGGTATATTTCAAAGATGAAGGAACTCATTTCACCAGGAATGTAGCTCTAACCAGTTAGTCTGAAACTTATCTTTCAGCTGCTTAGTGATATTGACGCCTGTTGATGGATTGGCAGGATCTGGGTAAATCCTGACATCACTGGATCCGGCATTGCTTTTGAGTTGTGTTGTTTTTTTAGAAGTCCACATTAGCAGCTAAGCATGATTTTTTGAAGAGGGAATTTCGCGCAATATAAAAACCGGATTTGCGGGGATGAACCAGATAATGCACTATTCCTGATATCCCGCAGTGAATTTTAGGTCCTGCCCCGGCACTATGGCCTCCGAGGTCAGGTCCCTCAGGGACTGGGCCTGTTCGGGGTTTTGCTCCAGGTGCTCCTGTATGCCCCTCTCTGGTGGGTGGGGCCATCACTATGTCTGCCCTACTTGGGCCTCTGGTTCTTCTTTTTCTGTCTTGGTCCCTGTAGGGTGAGTATGGTGCTGCCAACACCTGCTATTCATTTTTTAAATTTTTTGTTTTTAGCTTTTACGGCACTAGTGGTTCCTTTTTTCAATAATGAGCTGACCAGAAAGCGGGTATGAGAGAGAAGGAGAGACATGCGGGAAAGGACCACAGGCCGGATTCGAACCCTGGTCACCCTCGTCGAGGACTAAGGCCTCCGTACATGGGCTGTCCGCGGCAACCACTGCGCTACCTGCACACCCTAAGCATACTTTTCTGTTGAAGAAGCATTGTAAATCCTTTTTACTTCAGCTTGCTCATGCATTGGATTCCAGTTGCTCAGGCATAGTCACTAATCCTAAACACTAAGCTGCAGCTACAGATATATAACACCCTGATTATCAGATTACTATTAGCTAGCTGTGGGACATTAATACCCAGAGATATATTGGCTAAACAGAACATACAAGGAAAAAATAAATAAAGCAATACTGCCTCTTAAGGCTGTTCTTTTCCCCTTACTGAATTTCATTGACAATGATTTTAAACAATCGATTAATTGCATTTTCTGATTAACAGTTTCAGCCCTACTCCCAAATTACCTAATCACAAAGATCCCCACCCAACCCCAAACAACTTTAATGTTCTGGACACAATAGAATCATTTTGAAAAGACAAAATATAAACCTTAGAATGATAAAAAATCTAAACACCAAATTTCCAATATTACTTCTATGCAAACCAATTATAGAATTAAACTGATCTACTCAACCCATCGCCTTCATCCATGGCAAAACATCCAACAATCTGATTGCAAGGAAACTTTAATTAAAGATCTAATTTTGATTAGCAAGACAATCACACATCTTAGCTGCTTTGAAACCTTGAAATAGTATGACTTCTCATAGCTTAGGGAAAGATCAATAAAAAGAAAAATACCACATACTAACTGACAGCTCAAACACTTGTATGATAGAAAACTGACGTTACTGCAAATAAATGAGCCTTCGCTGGCGTTAAATAGAAGGAAAAAGGCATCAGACACCTCCACCACATCTCGATCGGAATAATCAACATTTTAACAGATCCTCACAAAAAGGCGTTCCTCCGATATATTCATCTAAAAATGTCCCTCAGAGCAAAAACAGGCCTTATTAACACCCTGAAAGGACAGCTAATGACAGCGGGCAAACCAATTAAAAAGACCATTCTAAGATATGCACAATCCTATCTCCTCTAATGACGTTGTACCTCACACTTCCAAAACAACAAAAAACCAGAACATCTGCATCAATAATACATTTTTGCGCAATATATGCATGTAATAACTTTTTTTCTGTCCAAAATAACTAATATAGATCTTTTTTGCACTTTCAAAAAATGAAAAAGTCTAGAGAGCTGTACTGAATTAAATCTCTTTTTGTATACACTTGTGTATAAAAAAATGACAAAATAAAATCTGTCTAACTCTGTCTAAGTCTGTCACTAATAAACTAATTATTGCACAGGACAACGTTTACACACCCCAGAGGCCCATCATGGGAACAGCTGTTTGCACAAGCATGCATCAGTGATGTTACCAAGTGAGTTCTAAGTAACACATAGAGTTTATGCACAACAAAAAAGGAATGAAATAAAACTAAAACAGACCTAAACTGGGGACAATCACTAAACGGGGAGCGTTTGTCATGATTTTTGCACTTGATTGCTCATTTCATGCACCAGCTCTACCCTGTTTTCTCATCACTGCTCATCTGGTCCACCTGTTCCTGTTCCTATTTATGCTGCCCATTTCCACTCATCGATACCACATTATTCTTGAGTGTTTGGTTTTGAGAGTTCTCTAGCATTTTCTATAGTGTTCTGATTGCCCGTTCCTGACATGTTTCTGTATTTGCACTTTTGAGCCTGCCTTCCCCTGTCTGATCTGTTTGCTTGGCCTGTATTCGGACTCTCGTTGGGTTCTTCTGTGGACTGAACATGTATCTGCCTCTTGACTTCACCCTGTGTATTATCTCTGCAGCCTTCTAGTCTTCCGTGTCTGGAGCTCCCTGACAGCATTCGCTGTGTCTTGTCAGTGGACCGCCGGGCATCATCCTGGTTCTCTGGGCACGGACTGAACTGTCAAACCAGGTTAGTGACTCGCGTGTTCATAATCAATCTCCATCAGATTCTTGTGGCACTAACCTGTATTTCTCTCTTATAGACATTCCTGTTATAGAGGCCCAAGCCACTGATTCCGCGGATCCAAAGCCCCTTTATCTAAATAAATATTTTAAGTTATTCCACTGTCGGTCTTGCCTCAATTGTGGGTCCTCTGTTCTGAGTCCATATCAGGTTGAGGTTTTAACTCAGAAGCATCTAGAACTCTTTCCCGGACCTTATTCCAAAGGAATCACACAAGCAACCTCATCTTGAGTCAAATAGCAAAACACAAAAAACATAAAAACAGACTCCAAAGACCCAGGCAAACAAAGGGTGAAGACCTATGCAAGTCATTTATTGGTATTTGCTTTGGAATGTGCTGCAACGGTGATAAAAAACATCAGAGCTGCAAGAGATTGGTCTCGTGCGGGACGCCAGAAATGGAAAATATAGATCCTTGATAGGTGTTGTAATATTTTAAGAAAATTAATGCGAAAAGTCTGGTTGCCTCCGGAATATGAGGATTTAAACATTGAATATACTCAGTTTCAACATCGTGTTCGCAGCAGTTAGAGAAGAGGAAGAAGGGAGGCCGACAATAGATGCTGTTTTGTAAAAAGGAACTTTGCATAAAGCGTAGACTAAACACCCTGTGGGTGAAAACCACAGGGAGTGGCTGAGGAAAACAACTTTTGCTCATATGGGTGAGAGGATCCACAAAACATCCTGATGGAGCATTTAATCAGATGGAAAAGAGCCCAAAACTGCTCAATACCCGAGCTGAAAGACAAGGGAACAATGGAGCAAAGGAGAGCACCAGACGTCCATCAGTCATAGTCTTGATTTAGTCCAGAATTAGTTGCTAAAAATTGGGCTGTGTTGGGTTGGTCTGGTTTTGTCCCACTTTAGTCCAATAATAGACGTTGAAAGCCCAACGTTCAAAGTTTTTTTCGACGATCTAAAAATTATGGCTTTTCACCTTTCAACCCAATGTAGACGTTGTTTGGACATAAGTCATGTCGTCTTTTCAATGTCTTTTTATAACCTATCTTTGCTCAGTGGTGCCAAAGATAAGTGTGTGTAGCGCATAATGGGGACAACCAGCAGCCTAATCAGCTGAGGTTCCTTAAACTGGGCTGCTGTTCCCAGCCTTCTGCAGAGAATACCCAGTCGTAGTAGTGGGGGAAAGTTGACCTGACTGCCCAGGGCCCAAGTAGGAAGAGGGTTTCCATGAAAAACCTATTTTTTTTTTTCATGTTGTAATTCTCAATGATTTGGGCCCTCTGATTTAACCTGACTCCGCCAGATGGATTTGCTCCGCATATCCATCTGGAAACCTTCCGTTGAAGTAATTTTGGGAAGGGGCGGAAATACTGGTTAGCTGATTGGCCTATGTTGGTGATAGACGGGCCAAATAAACCAATCAGATCAANCTCACGAGGCTACCTCCGATTACCTGATGTCATAATTTATTTAAGTTATATATTAACATCAACTGAGAGAATAAAACTTTATGTCAACGTCCACCCAACCCCTTCTGGAAGCCTCCACTTGGCAGCAAAAAAATGGTTCAGTGTGTCCAAGAAAAACTGGTGACAAGTGTAACGTCAGTGAGCCCAGATTAACCGTGGACCTGGGAGCTAGACATCATGCTCCCCTAAAAGCATAAATCAGGGCATTAAATGAAGGAGAAGAAAGAAAAAGAGAGCAGAAAGAGGGGAGGCAGCTGCTTTCTTTCCCAAAGGTCAACAAAATCTGCCTGAAGTTTCAAGCTGATCCTGCAGAGACTGAATGGTGATGGAGCCCCAGCTGCTGAGCTGAGGGTTTAAGCAGGAAGCAAGTGGAAGCCAAATACTGCCTGGAGGTAAAGGGAACCCCTGACATTAGCATGCTGCTGTTTAGAGCAAAAAAATAAAATAAAATTAATCATCAATCCAATCCTGCATTGAAACAATCCACAAAATCATCTACCAGAACTGTGGTATGAATAATCTGTCAGCTTCCCAAAAATAAAAATTCTGTCCTGAAGTTCCACCATAAGTAAGGGTTAGGTTGTTAGTTGAAAAGATTATTTTTGATTGCCTGTAGCAAAGTTTGTTTAAAACAACATATTAAAGGTTTGCACCAAACTGCTTATATTTAACAGATTGAAATTATAATTGGAAGCTGAGATGAGAATGAGAATTACCGTTAGCTAGTTTGGCAATCTGACTGTATGATCTGGCTGATTTTTCTCTGTAAAGTGCCTTGAGATGAAGTGCTGTGATAAACTGATTTGAATTTGATAAATAGGATCCAGATGATTGTTGGGTTTACATTTTGATGCACAGCCGTATTACATACGTGGTTAAAAACATGCTTCATTTTAGCCCTCCTTTCGTTTATGTAGTATCTATCATGAAAACCTGGGCTGTAATGTTGATTTGCCTTTTGCTTCACTGTTTGCTGTTTTGATGTGGAAAAACATGTCTATTGTATTCTCCTTGATGTTCTGTGATCAGCGAAAACGTCTCATTAAATGAATCATGTAACCTTGCATTTCACTGTGTAGCTGTTAAAACAGCTGGAGTTTTGTTTTTACTGGCTTCTATTCCAACATAGGCGGATCGATCATGCAGAAGGTGTCACGTCAACTAAATGACTTGACTAGTGAAAAGGGGTGTGACCAAGGGCACCACCAGGGCGTGGCCGAGGGTGGCCACCCTGGGCTATGCCCTGGCCACCCCACTGGCCCCCTACTGGCCAGTGTAAATTGTAGTAGCATCGGTTTAGCGTTTCACCCCATTATCCACCCAGCAAAGCAGCCGCTCTCCCTGTCCTTCTCGCACAATGTAGTCCTCCTGCTCTCCCCCTCCCCTACCCGATATTTGCTTGCACACTTGCGCAAATGAGCTACCGGTACAGATGGCGCTTTAGGTACAGATCAGATACTCACATTGCGCTTGTGCGCTCGGAGAACAACGGCTCAGCCCGTGCGCCCGCTTTAACGATGAGAAAGCATATCAAACTAACAGTAAGTAAATAAGTCAAGTCATTTGTTTGCGAAAGAAAAGGGGGATATGTTAACTGTAACATCATACTGTTAAAGCAGCTTTTAGTGTGTTTCTGACATAGTTATGTAGCTAACTGGATGAGTTGGTGATTGTGGATGGCTGGTCAATTTTCAGACATGAAGAGAAAGCCCACAGACATCTGTTCTTATTTTAAGAAGAAAATTACAGCAGAAGCAGAGAAAGAGGATGAGGAGAAGAGAGAAGAGGAGAAGGAGGAGGAGGAGAGAGAGGAAGAGATAACTCTTATGAATAGGGAAACTGACAATATTTTTAATTGTTATTGTCGAGTTCATAAAATGTAGGTTTACTGAAATACAAAATTTATGGATACAATTTCTGCAGGAAGGAGAGACAGTTGAACCCCAGACTCAAACATACTGTCTCCCACTGGACCTCCTCTGCAGAGCGTTTATTAACAGAACATGACGCATGGTTACAAACAGAGTATTGTTCTGACAGAACCATTGATCAGTTCATGAAGACAGAATGCTCCATCAGAATGACAAGGCAGGATGGTCTCCTGACTGGATCGTGACACAGGAGTGGAGCATCCCCTCGCACAAATGTTTTATAAGCACACATTAATTTTATAATCATCATTGAATAATCCTAACAGTTATGTCCTCTGTCATTTTGTTTAAAATAAAACTTCAGTGGTTATTTAAAGTGTGATGGACTTGCTTCGGTTGCAGATAAAAGAGTGTAACTCTGATATTTGATCATAAGAATTATTTCTGTATATGAATAGAATCTAAGGTGGATCATGCACTTGTAGCTGGGTACCTCTGAGCCTGTAGCAGTAGGCGTCGTACTTGCTGCTCTGGTCCACCGGGTCTTTGTACATAACCAAGCCCACGTGGTTGTCTCCACATTTGACAGAGGGGAAGCGGATCGGGTATCCTACCCTCCCTCCTTCTATCCAGCCAGCAACACACAGATGCATCCCGAGCTGCAGAGACCAGACAGAAACAACAGAGGCAGAAAGACATTAATATCTGATCTCAAAGGAAGGAGATACCATCATCATGGGTCCAGTGGTAATTTTTGTGCTGTCTGTGCTCAAACTCTAATCTAAGATAGAGTTATATTAATCTGGGAGGAAATGAAAAATCCTTTATAGAGACCAATCAAAGGTTAGAGGTTTATTTTGAAAGGTAAAGATATTTATAACAGGATTCATGGCTGGTTATAAACAAACCTGTTTGATCAAACTGAGATCGATCTCTATCTCCCTGCACAGCTTCAAACTTTTTCTGGTACATATGAATTTACTGATGGAATAATGTCATTCTGAAGCAAAAACTCTCACTCTGGTTGTTTTTACTGTTTTTCTAAAAAAAAACAGCTTTTAATAGCTTATCCAGGATTCCTCATGCAGGAGTGAATCCTGCTAAATCAATGACTCTATGCAGTCAGCTGGGTTTCCTTTGACAGAAAACCTTTAACCAACCTGACTGCATGATCTGATTAAACTGTCTCTATAAAGTGTCTTTAGATGATGCGTTATATAAATGAACTGGATTAATTAATCTTAAAATGTCACTAACCCTATAGATTTCCTTTTGAGGTTGGACTAAAACTTTCCGGTGGGTTGATTTAATGTCATCATCCCAAACCAAGAGGGATCCTATGGCCGATCGAAAGGCATCTATATACGAACCTTTCATTCACCGTATCAAACAATCTTAAATAAAGAAGGACAGAGGTCTCCTCCTTCCTGAACCCTAAGTTTACCTGCTGAGCATCTCCCAGCTGTTGAAACGTGGCCAGGGTAGCGTCCTCAGCCTGGCAGCCCATCGTTGCCTGGGTGAAGTTCATCATGTACTTCCCCTCTGGGGAGCGCAGGTGGAACACTCCCCCTGTGTTGGCTAAAGAACAATGGTAGGTTAAGCTGACCTTGAAACACTGAAATCTGCCTGCTCCAAGGAGCGGCACCTGACCAAACGTGCGTAATAATGGCTTCCAACGAGATCCATGATTAACAAGGTCATCAATCAATCTACTGTCACCATGGTTACAAGGATGCTACAAAAGCTGGCTGCTGAGGATTCAGTGTACATCATAGATATATCCTTGGATACTGCATTTGGCTCACTGGTTTAGATAAGTTGCTATGGTAACCTCAAATACAAGAAAGAAAAATTATGCCACAGCTGTGTTACTATAGTAACAGCTTTTGTTAAAACACCTAGCTCTATTTAATGAGTTCTACTGATGTGACGCCATGGTAACCATGGTGATAATTTGGTGTTTCCGCTCAGAATTGGTTTCTGAACGGCGCAGGAATTTTTGGTCCCCCTATGGATGAGTTACAGGAACTACAGGCAGACAGCTGAGGGTCCGCTGGAACAGTGTACGCTGGGTCATTGAACACTGCCATGACTCTTTAATGTAAACTCACTCTTTTTTTAAGTATGGAAGTAATTTGGTTAAGGAGAAGATAAACAGGAGGTTAGGACCCTGCTTTGTAAGTGCGATTACTACAAATATGTTGTTTAAAAAGCCAGAAATACTAATTTGTCCTTTTCATGGCTGAAGTTTTCAAATAAAATAAAGGTTTTCATCAAATCTGCACCATCTAGGTCACCTTCGAAGGAGCACAGTGCACGTTTCAGATCACCCGTGTTCTCTTGCTATTGCATCAGTGGCAGCAGAGATTTAACAGAATAGCTGAGTGAAAGAGAACGAGCAGGGCATCGAACCATGGCCACACCCATACAGAAAATCTGACCTGAATCACTACTTCAGGAACTGACTAATCGAGTTGCAACTATCCTCTATTAAACAAAGAGCCAACTTTAATGAATAGATCTACTTGAATGTTCTTTAATGCTTACTGTCGACAGGCTGCAGCCATGTCCCAAATTCTTTGTTTTCCAGCCACTTTTGTTGAAATTTGTATTTTCCTATTCTCTAGGCTTAACATACGGCTTTACTGTCAACTGGAAGCAGTTCCACACAAATATATCATGATATAATAAATCTAATGAAGTTGATTTTATAAATTCATTTAATAAAAAAAATGCCACGATAATCACATATAATGAATTTCAATGCCAATGAAAGCATAAAAATGTATTTAAAAAAAAACATTTAATGACCGGCGGAAACTCCGTGCCCCTTTTCCACCGGCTCCACACGGCCTGGCTCTAAACTCCACTCACCAGTTTTCAAACACTTCCATTGCTGCTTTTTCACTGCTGTCTTTTTTCATTACTGCCACTACGAGAAAAGCAGTAACAGATAGATCACAGGGGTTGACGTTAAGGATTCTTACCACTTGCCCTTTGGGCAAGTGACTTTCACATTTCATTTGCCCAGAAACTATTTTTACTTGCCCAGTATGATGTTTGATAAATATAGTTCTTAATATTCATTTTTGTATATATATCAATGAAACCTGTTTGTTTTTTAAATGTTTTTTGTAATTCAGTATTTTTAAGTTTCCAGGTTCCTGGTGTGTATATGCATGCGTCAGATAATGAACTCCAGCCTACATTACCGTGTTAACATGCTTTTCAATCCTTCCTCACATTCTTTTCAAACTAAACTTTGCTTTAAACTGTTGTGTGCTTGGAAAAATATTAATTGTAATGTTAAAAATCTAAAACAAAATAAATGCAGCAACAAGACAATAATAATAACATTCACCAATTTAACATGTTTAGCTCTATAACATTTAAATGCAGCTCTCCAATGTCTAAGAGAAAAAAATTTAGTGAACATTTTTTAATGTATGACCTGCATCACTGTACAGAAGACTGCCATATGATAGCGCTTTCTAGCTTGTTTGTCGTTTTGGTAACTACATCAATATTACTGCTAGGTGGACAAAAATGACGTAATCTGGCGGAAAATCACCCGGCTTTTTCAAATCACGCGAGAATGTGTACAAAACAACAAAAATGGCGCCAGCAAAGCTTCTGGGTCATTTTTTTATCGAATGTCGGTGATTTTAAAGTAATTTTGAGTGATAAATAATTTTTTTTTTTTTTTGCGATCATTGCACTTGTGCGACGGGCAAATGCAATGAAATTTGTACTCTCTCGACAATAAAAACTACTTGCCCCGGGAGATCGGGCGATGGTTAACATCGAGCCCTGCATCAATGGTATAAAGTAGAACCAGGCCAGGTAGAGCCGGTAGAAAAGCAGCAAAATGAAAATATACCAGGGAATGGGGTATGGTGAAGGGTGCCCACATCCACTATGAAATCAAAACAGGAAAGTGATGCGTTACCATGGTAATGGAGGTCCTTGCAGGTGGCCACAGGGTCACAGCCTCCGTTCTCTTCCAGGCAACGGTCAACAGGGGGCACCACTTTCTCTAGACACTGGACTCCATTACCCACATACCCTGGGAGGCACTCACACCTCCGCTCATTCTGAAGGATCCAAATCACAACAAGTTTCTGTTTCAGATTGAAATGTTCATCTCTCCAATAGTCATTAAATAAATCGATGCATTTTACATGAATTCATCAAAGATGGTGTTATTTTCACACAGACGACGTTTGCTTCAAACACGTCAAAGTCTGATTACACACCTTTCATTTTTATCTTGGTGTTAAATTCTTATTTTCTGTCTGTAATCTAACTAGAACTTTTGTTTAAACAAAACCACCTACATAAAATTGCTTATGGCTGTGTGTGTTGATGACATGATATTGATATGTTCTAGAATATTTTGTGGACAAAAACGTTAATACTGATGATCAATGTTATAATTTCAAGGGCACCCTCATAAGAGATTTAATCATAAGCCACTACTTTGATGCAGACTGGGCGCATTAAACTAGCTGCTGTTTACCGCCCGCCCCCCAAAAAGAGAATAAATAAAAAGAAAAAGAAAAAGGAGATAAATTCTTCATTTATTATGCCACGACTTATGAGTAACTTACACTTAATGTATGTCAACGATCCGATAACTTAACTGTTACTTATGCCTTTCTACTTAGCTGTGTTTCTGTTCTTGATTAAGCTACTGTAGAAGCTATTACTGTATTAAACTTTTACCTTTCTCTCACATAGAAAGCATTCCTGGATCATTGATTTTTTTTTGTGTATTCCCTGTCTGCCCAAAGTCCCAGTCTAGGACACCAACTGTCCACTGAGGCTTCTGCCTCATTCAGGAGGAGCAAACTCTGCAAGCAGTGACTTGATAGCCGCGTGAGACCATCCTGATCTCGCGAGCTTTCAAGGTTTCACTCGCT